TCTAGTAGTAGTGATGCTGATTTTTGGCTTGTTGATAGGCCTATGAGTGGTGGTAGTCGGTGGAAAATGGTTGGGAAGTATCCGAGGAGATTGGATAATTTTAATGGGCTTGACGGGTGTTTGAGCTTTAGGTTGTATGTTGCGAGGCTGAGTTCAAGTGCTATTATGAAGCCTAGGATAATTTAATAATTATATTAAATATAAATAGAATAATTTTCAATTTAAATTCTAAGAATGTTTATATTTAAAATAACTGTTTGTTGTCTTAATGAGACACTCCTTTAACATAAGCATAAGGAAAGATGAAAGCAAAAAGATGAAAAAATACACTATGCAACACAAACCAGTAGAAAACTGCTGTAATTAATGTACTGTCACAATATAAGACAAGACCCATTGTTGGAAATGATGACCCATGTTTCCTAAGGATAGACTGAGTATCTGAACCATTAGCAATGTGGGTTGTTTTTTTTTGTTTGTTTGTTTCTTTTTTGGTGAGGAAGATTCACTCTGAGCTAACATCTGTGCCAATCTGCCTCTATTTTATATGTGGGTAGCCACCACAGCAGGGCTGACGAATGGCATAGGTCTGCCTCCGGGATCCTAACCCACAAACCCAGGCCTCCAAAGTGGAGTGTGACGATCTTAACTACACAACAGGGTTGGCCCCCTAGCGATGTGTTTTTAATCTACATGTACCTAATCATCCAAGTTCAACATAGATTTCAAAAAAGTGCAAGTAAAAAATCATGAGTGGAGCTTTAAACAATTTTCTCTCACTATTTATCAAATAAGCAGATATATCAGTAAGGCTATTGAAAGATTTAAACCAAATAATTAACAACTATATATACGTGCACACACACACTATACTAATATAGAATACTCATATATTTAAGTTCACATGGAAATTTTCCAAAAATACACTGTATACTCATATTTCCAAGCATTTTAATATGAAATATACAGAACTGTGGTGTCACTTCAGTAGCTGCTAGACAAGTTTGGCAAGTGGACACTTGAAATTTAGATATTCACTTCAATTTTTTATTAGTTAATAATGAATAAAATTTTAAGATTGGTTTCTCAGTCACACTAGCCATGTTTAAACAGAGATAGAACATTTCCAGCTTCATAGAAAATTCTCTAACTACAGGTTACCAAAAATAGATATCAATAACTGATAATTTGAAAATCTTTGTCTGTGGTTCTAAATGCAGTAATATTTTTTTAAATAACATATGGGCCAAAGAATTAATCACAATAAATGTTTACAAATTTTACACGAATTACAAGGAAAATAAAACAGCAAAATCTGTCTTGTGAAATATTGATTGCCTTACATGTATATCTTTAAAAAAGCAGAAATTGGTGCACACATCACAAGGAACTAAAAATGGAAAAATCAAAATTTGAGGAAAGTAAATCCAAATGAAGTATAAGGAAGACAACAGTAAATAGTAAAAAATCAAGACAAACAACAAAATTACAGTAAAGAGGACCAACAAGGCGAAAGTGATGCTCATTGAAAACACTTAATAAAATTGATCAGACTGTTGAAGAAAAAAATTGAGAAGACATAAATCTTTTATATCTATATTAAACATGAGAATGCCATTATGATTAAAAAAACAGATAATAAAGCCATATTATGAATACATTTTAATTTCTATATGAAATACAAAATTCCTAGAAAATGCAAATTACCAAAATGATGTACAAGAAATACAAACATGAGTAAACCCAACGAGTGTTAAAGAAATTGATTTCATTATATAAACCTTTTTCCAAAACAATTCTACAACCTCAGATGGTGTCAGTAGTGAATAATAATATTTGAAAATATAACAGTACTCTTACACAAAGGCTTCCAGGTAACAGAAAAAGAGGAATGCTTCCCAATATAGCCTTGATAACAAAACCGGTCAAGTATGTAACATAAATGAAAATGCAGTCTAATCTCTTTGTGAACATGGATGAAGAAAAACTACTTAATCTAAATATAACGTGTACACTGATTTGAAAAAAAGACAGTAGAGAATGATCATTGTGGTTTCATTTCAGAAATGAAAGATTAGTTTAACATTTAAAACAAAGACAATTTACTTCATAAACATCATACAGAGAAAATTATTATCATTCCAACTGATGGAAAAATAATAATGTGATATTGATTGGTTATAAAATCTATTAGAAAAATAGAAATTTTATGGGATTTCTTTAATATGAGAAAGGTATGATGAAAAAAACTTAAAACAACCTCATACTGAAGGATGAACTATTGAGATATTTTCCCTTAAAATAGGGGAGGATACATATAGAACCCTTTACTGTACCTTCTATTCAACATTGGAAATAAAACACTAGCCTGTGAAAATAAGTCAAGAAAAAGAGAGTAACTACACCTGGCAAGAAGAAATAAAAGTGTGATTATTTACAGATAAAATAGCTGTTTATATAAAAAACCCAGAAGAATATATATTTGAAATGATGGAATTAATACATAAAGTCAGTGAAGTCATTGAATATAAGATTAATACATAAACCTCAGTTATATTTGTGCTTCAAGCAGAATGAATTACTAAAGGAAGATTTAAAATAAGGATGCCATTTATAAAAGAATGACTGTGAAATACCCATTTTTCTGTAGACTTCAATATAAAAAATACAAAATATAAAATAAATTAAAGAACCTAATACATACAAAAATAAAGCATGATATTGATGGGAAGAGTCAATACTGTAAAGATGACTAATCCTTACAAATTTAAAGATTCAATGCAGTCCCAAACATAAGCCCAGGAGATTTTGGAAAGCTTTTTTGAGGTAATTTACACAGCATAAAATTCATCCATTTGGAGTATATAAATCAGTGATTTTTAGTACATTCACAGAGTTTGTAACCATCACCACTATGAAAATTTAGGAAGTTTTCATCACTCCAAAAAGAAACACTGTACCTGTTAGCAGTCATTTCCTATTGCTCCTCGCCTCAGTCCTTAGCAACCACGAATCCACTTTCTGTCTCTTATGGGTTTGCCTCTTGATATTTCACATACACGAACTCACACAACACGCAGTCTTTTAAAAAAGTTGAATGTCACTAACATAATGTTAAGCCAAAAAAGCCAGACACAAAAGTAACGGTGTCTGTACTTTTTGGTGTGTATATTATATTTCAATAATTGCTTTTGAAAAAACTTTTCGTTACTAGAACAAATAATATAATCCATTTTAAGACTTATCCAATTGTAATATTATTTCCGTTTTATGAAATAGAATGTTACCCGACAGAATCCAAACTCAAATGCTTCAATTCTAAAGCTTATGCTTGCAATTATATCTATTTAGAGATCCACAACTCTCTGCTTTGAGGCCCAATGAGTGTAGTATAGCGCAGTTATGTTTACCAGATGATGATTCTGTTACCCTGTAATGGAGAAAAATGCATAATTCTACTGTTACATTGTATGGGGGCAATTCATGAAACAATAGCATTTTCCGTATAACTGTAACAAAAGAATATGTTGAAAATGGGTAACGACATTTTTTTATTCAATATTCGTAAGAGTTGGTTACCAGGAAAACTGAGTCCATTCTTTAACATTTATATCAACATTTCATTAACTTTCCACGTCTTTCTTCATTTCTATAATTCAACTGAAACAAATGTATTAATATTATTTTCCGAATTTTTCTTTTTTATAGAATCTTGTTCTATATAGCATTATTTAAAAAATTTTACCTTAGTTTGGAAGTTAAGCCACTTGTGGACATCCATGGATGATCACTGCTGTTACGAAAGACTCCAATCCATGATAGAAGTGATAAGGAATTCAGAAATTTCTACTCCAAAATAAAGAATTTTCATTTAAATAATCATTAATAAATCTTTTATCATTTTTTTAAATACAAGTAGTATATGCTTTCATAGGAACTTTAATTTTCAGAATGAAATGCGGATGTTAGATTTTAATCTAACACTGGAGGTATATTAAAGTTGAAAACTACATTTCCTGTTGTCAAAAACTTTCACCAATGTTTGTAGTTTGGGTTAAAATTAACTCTTAAACATGTATATTTAGTAGTTTCATTCTTCTTATGTTTATAGGGAAAATTCTGATTCACGTAATTTAATAGTTATCTTGTTGACAAGACTAACATAGCAAGGCGTTAAATAAGTTTCCAGATAATATGACCATTGATTTCTCTGGATATTGTGACTAAATCAATGTTTTTTTCTGTGTTTATCATACTATCTCTCTCTATTATGTTTCTAAATTAGAAGGAAATTAATGGATTGATAATGAGAAAATAAATGACATGAAAGCCAAAAATTTGGTTTTCTGGTCCTCACACAATTTTTTAGGTAAGATTCAAATCCATCTGTTTCTGTTTTGGTGGACTCCAATAGCACGAAAAGGTGTCACAGACTCGTTTCTCTCTGCTACTCCCTGCTAAGTACTACTATAAATTCTGGAACTAATGAAAAATACAAGTAAAGGAGAACTCTGAATGGTGGAAGAGAAAGGAGAAACGGTTTGGGCCCCTGGGATTAGGGAACAACAGAGTGACAGGTCATCTTATATTTCCCACCCAAGAGAAGAAAGTGACCTAAGCTGCTGCTTCCCAACACCCAACCTAGCAACAGGAGGTGGTTCAGGGAAGCCATTTCTCCTCTGTGGTGAAGCAGCAACAGCAGGCAAGCCTTACAAGGGTGATCCATCAGGAAACGTGCTAACAATAAGAAGCCAGAGGAAGTGCTTCTCCCCCCAACCAAGAGACACAAGGGCATGAGGGGTGGAGGTGGGACCAGCAAAGGGGATCCTATGACTAAAAGTACTCTACTCAGAAAACCTCTATTCCTGGGGGCATAAGACTCATGTCCCCAACCAGCGACATCAGATAGAATGGATTTTAAAACGTTACATTCACCTAATTCAGTGGCGAAAATTAACAAACTAGAGCAAAGCACAATAATAAGGATGAATTGCAAAATTATCATATGTGAGTGAAAAGAGAAATGAAGAAAAATGCACACTGTGTGATTTTATTAATATGAAGTTCAAAACCAAGCAGACATTCCATAATATTGAAAGTCAGGACAGTGGTTAAATAAGGGAGGAAGAGAAGTGATGAGAGAACACACAGGAGCAGGGCTGCTGGGGGCTGGAAACTTCTATTTCGTGACTTGATTTGTAATTAAATGGTTGGTTCTATTCCCTTTGTGATCAAAATGCACAATCATGATATGTTTAGTTTCCTTGATGTATGGTAAAATTAAATAGCAAAGTTTATTTTATTTATGTATTTTTTTTGTGAGGAGGATCGGCCCTGAGCTAACATCTGCCAATCCTCCTCTTTTTGCTGAGGAAGACTGGCCCTGGGCTAACATCCGTGCCCATCTTCCTCCACTTTATATAGGACGTCACCACAGCATGGCTTGCCACGCGGTGCATTGGTGTGCGCCCAGGATCTGAACCGGCGACCCCCAGGAAACCCTGGGCAGCCGCAGTGAAGCGTGCGCATTCAACCGCTTGTGCCATCGGGCCGGCCCCCACAAAGTTTATTTTAGAAAAATAACCATTTATAGAAACATGGTTTTCTATGAAAAGCAAGAAAGGGAAATTATCAAAAGTGTATTAATAGTATAAAATATAAATAAAATATCATAAAGTCGAGCAATGGAATATTACAAACTTTAAAATAAACTACAAATATGTACAAAAATATAGAGGAATTCTACAAATACAATATTGACTGAAATAAGCCTTTAATAAAATGTATGAAACATTTAATATCTTACCAGTTCTTCTTCACTCTCTATATAAAGCAGGTTAGAGTTCTTAGAAACACAGGCCATCAAACTCTCATTCCATGTTTTGCTTTCAATACTAATGTAATAGCAGTTGTTGGAATATGTTAACCACTCCTTTGGACAATGACCACAATGATATGCTGAAGAAAGATTATGAATTATTTTTCAAAAACAATTTGAATTTTAAAAAATGAAAATTAACTCATATATTTGCATAGGTAGAAACACATATGTACATAACATATCTATGCACCCTCACAGGCCGGTATATATAAAACAAAACACACTCATGTACACACTCAAAGAAAGAGTTACTCTCTTATCCCCTAATTTACATGCTCATATAAAGCAATCACACAAACAAAAACATCCACTCTTTACATGTGCTGAAAGTCAATGGATGAAACCACTTTTTTAGAATAGTAATGTTATTTATCTCTTATTATATTGCAGCAGTAGGAAATTTAAGCAATTGGCAACAAAGGGAATGATGATTTTAAATATATCTTCTTGCGGCATAAAAAGGAATACTCTCCTATAATCATTATTTATGAACATTTATTGCCCAATTTTGTAATTTATTAACCCCAAAATAATCTATTACCATTTTCACCTAGCCCAAGATGGAAACAAAATATAAACTGTACTAATATCAGAATTTTGAAAATTATTATGTACCTTTCTGGATCCTTGTTATTGGGGATGAATTCTTCTGCTCCACCATTTCAGTAGCTAGAAAAATTAAAGTAATCCTTTTAAAAAGTTAATATTTATCTAAATAAATTATGATAATTTTAGTTCCTTAGTTTGTAATATGGTATATTTTTTAAGATTAGAATAATTTGGAATAAAATTGATTTTACCAAGGAAATTTAATAAAGTAATGAAGATTTGGGGGAAAATATTTCAAAAGCCTAAAGGATCAAACTTCAACTCGCTTACAGTATTTGTTCTAACTGATCTCAAGAATTATTTTGTATTTCTCAGTAAGGTCTTTCAGTTTCCTAAAGCGTGTCTTTGAGTTATGAAATCAGAATATATATATACATAATACTTTCTACAGTCATTCTTCTATTTATACTTTTGACAAATTCAGAATGACCATTCTACATTTAGTCTAAATGCATACATTCAAATGAGAGTTCTAGTCCATAATGTTAGAAATCTTTGGAGACACTGAGGATCACTAAAGTAAAAAGTTCCCTTATAATCTTTTAAAAATTTACTTACAGTGAATAACAACTGTCATTGTTACCACAGCGGACAGCAGAACAAGGCAGATTATTCCCAGAATCCCAGCAACGAGCTTCCATGTAGATGACGGTAAATCTGCAGGGAAACAGAGAAATGGAAACACTGAGAAAGGAGAGATGGAGGCAATTGTTTACCAAGTTTACATACAAGAAAACCCACATGCACAGGGAATTATATACATATAAACTTGGACCCCAAACCCATATCTACCATTGTAATCTTTGTCTCAGAATACGCTATTGCATTTTCAGTAAATATAATGTTCTGTGAGTTGCCAGTCAGAGACTAAAAATTTTAACAATGCCTGAATAAAATTAGTCCTCAGATTTCATATTAGAATACCATATTATAACTTCAAGATCTGATCTTCACAAATGAAAAATAGGTGAGCTTATTCTCTACTCTTTCCTCACACTCTTGTGCCCCAGCTGCACATCCTAAAACATTTACTGTGTGTCCATTAAATGTTTTACCTTTGCCGTGGTGGTTCCTGTCATTCTCTTGAAGATCCTGAGAAGCATTTTGAAGGTTTAACTCAGCATAGGTTATTTCCTCCTCAGTTACTGAAATGGAGCTTTTAGTGCCCTTAGGTTTCATTTGCTGCCTCTTTGCGTACTTGGCCACATTCAGTTCTGCATAGGTTACTCTTTGGTTATTCATCTCTGCAGCTCAGTGATGTCTGGACTGCGCTCTAAGACAAGTGTACTTAAGAATAAAGGGCATATGAAATGATGAGATCCCTAGTTCTGTAAACTGGGCGGGGTGGACGGTGATTATCAGTGCTCATCTTGCAGCTGAAGAACCTAAGGCCTGCTTTTAAACTCCTCAGAGATTTAAACGTGTCACATGATAGAATATCTTTTTTAAAGATATTCAGCATTTGACAATATATTATCAGTTAGAACAATGAAAAGTGATAAATTCGTAAGGAATAAAGAAGTTCATGAATAACAATTTCCTTATTAATTTAAACTCAAATTCCACAAAAAGTTGTAACACCATTAGAATGCCTGTATTAAAAATTAAAATGCTATACTAGAAAGAGAATCACTAATATTTAAGAAAATTTTGAAGTGCAATAATGATTAAAGACTTGTTGCTCTAAAGATGGGGGAATATGAAAGTTGGCATATGTATAAACTTCTTGCACTAAATTACATTTATTTAGAGACACATTTATTTATTAGAGGGGTTACCAAATGGTCTTATATTTTGAATGGTTGACGAGTTCTGAGAAATCATTAAAAATTTAAAGAAGTATTTTATATGTTGGAAAATAATACATTACACACTACACATATCCATAACCTAAGCAATATTGAAAATAAAACAACAAAAATGATTTAAAAAAATACTTATTTTACAAAAGTAATTGACAATTGATTTAATGGTTAAGATATAATCCCATAAAATGGTAAAGAATGTGTAGGTTATTTATGGAAGAACACTTTTGTTTTAAACTTCCAGAAAGATCTTATGGTTGTCCAAGTCAGTGCAGGTTGTTATGGTTGTATAAGTAATTATAATATTCCAGGTAATGTAATATAATAATTCAGTCAATGGGCTCTGTAGTCAGAGAGTTCTGGAATTAATCTGGTTTTGAAACTTACAGTATTTGACCTTTAAAAAGTTACTTAGTGTCTAGTGACCTAGTTTACTAATCTAAAATGGAAATAAGAGTATGTAGCACATAATGCATGTAACACTTAGTACTCAATCTGTCACTTATGTGCTCTCAATAAATATTAGTTATTTTAATTATTATTTTTGTCACAATTTCCATGTTATTATTTCTGATTCATATCAGTTAGACCCTGGAAAACAATTTGTTAAGCAGGAGTCTCTTTAATCAGTATGGTACATCTTTTTCACAATGTTTGTTCAATTTTTTAAAAAAGGCTTTGATGGTTTATAATTAAGTTTAAATTGGCAATTTACAAAAGCTACCTCTTCCTGATTTTTATTAAAAATCAAGCTGCTTTTATTCAAGCTAGGTAAGTGTATGAGTAATTATGTTTGACCTTCATCATGGAATGAATTCCTTTTTAAGAATCTATTTAAAAAACTTAAGCAAAATGTAAATTAACATATTATTACACAAAAAACCTTGCACTCATTAGAAAATCCAAAACTAATTGTTCCTTGTCATGAAGTTCACAGATTTCACTTTAAATTATATTTATTTACAAACCCAAATATGCATGGATTTACAAACCCAAATATCCTTAACTAATTTTCTATGGGGAATAATTTGAATACTTTAAGAAATGTTCCAACATATTTTGTATTTTATGGTTGCTTTTTACCCTGAATTATTCAAATAAAAACACCAATGTTCTAATTTGGTTTTGTTGTATATTAATTGTACCTCAGTTGCATCACATCTGGTATTTGTTATTTCCCACTAAAGGAAGTGGGCTGGCAGAGAGACAGGAGAATAGCCACACATACCTTCTGTTGGCCAGAAAGTGGGACATCCTCTAGTGAGAGGCCAGGTTACTCTCATAAAAGAGGCCTGCTATAGCTGGGTAATAAAAGGAGAAATTTAAAAACACAAATCCAGAACAAGAATAAACAATATCTGTGGTCTTCACAGATTGCCCTGTGAAGGCTCAGAATGAAGCAATAGTGGAAAAAGCAGATTTCTCATCAATGTGGCACTTAGGGTTTGAACAGGAAACTATTATGCTTAGACTATTTTGAAGTCTGTTTATGTCATCACACAGCTCCAGAATATAGGAGACTTTGGGCTCCAGTTGAAAGGACAAATGGACCTCTAAGTGTGTCATTTAGATTGCCATTTTCAAATGCCTCTGAGAAGTTGTTTTCATATTCTACAAGCTGTAGGGGTACAGAGGCTTGACCACCCATGCAGTTACCTTGATTCCATCTCAATCACAAACACTGCAAATATAGAGTATCTCAAGTTTTACTTTTAGAACTAGGTTGCCAAACCTAGGCATTACATACATCTCTTCCTCGTATCCATACTACTTTATTTCTATTGTCATGGAAAAAGTGCTACAAATCATAGTCCCATAATCAACATGTATTTAATGATATTTGTCACTAATTATTTGGAGGAATTACTTCATTCCCAACCATATTGTAGTTGGCACAAAGTCCATCATTCCCAAAATAGCATCTCTATTTCTCTGCTAGTTCTTACATTAAATTTTATTATTTTTAAATAAATAATTTAGTCTGCATATTTCCTCTGATAAAAATAAATGTCCCTTGGAATGATAAAATACAAACAATATTGAACTATATCACCATGCCAGGGGTTGAAATACTAAATACATACTCAGGGGGAGAGAAGTCAAGATGGCAGTGTAGTCAGACTCTGAACTCAACTCCTCCCACGGACACAACAAATTTATAACTACTCTTGGAAAAATTACCCCTGAGAGAGAACTGAAAACTGGATAAGAGGAACCCCTGCAACAAACAACAGCCCTAATTGAGGAGGAAGAGGCAGAAATTCCCTTCTGGACAGAAAAAATTCACCTTCACAAGCCTCAACACTTTACGGCCACCTGGGAGCAGCCCAAAGATATGCAGCCCTCCCTGAAGGAGTGGGGGACGTGAGCTGGGGAGCATGCCAGCTATAGAAATTTTTTGGACCCAGCACAACCAAGATGAGTGACATAATATCTGACTTTGCTTGCTACTAACAACATTGGGGAGTACCCCCAGAAAAGCTGGTTCACAAAGAAATTAAAGCTGGCTCTTAAAGGGCCCATGCACAAATTCACCCATTTCAGAAAGCAATCTAAAATCACCAGAAAGAAAGGTGCACAGTCCTTTTGTGAAAAGAGACCCACCTGATAGTTTCTGAGTGCATCTTGGTGAGAGGTGACACCCCTGTAGGGACTGGGACATTGGCGGCAGCCATTGTTGTGACCTGGTGTGGGTGTGCTGACACAGATGCTGGCAGGCACCATTGGAGTTCTTTCCCTGGCCTGCTAGCCAAAGGTCTGCCCCACCCACTAGAGTACCAATTTAATCCAGCTCAGCCAGGGCAGGCAGCCTACCCTAGGGACTGGCCCCACCTGGCAACAAACCCTTGGGTAACTTGTGGGCCTGCTAAATGAACTGCCTGGATTCTCTGCAGAATGGTGAGTAGGTCCACCTCTGCAGGGCGTGCATGAGGAGCAGGTGGAGAGTGTGGGGCAGTGGTGGAGTGTCTGGGGTTCCTGCCTTGGAGAGACGGGGTCTACTTCAGGAGCTTGGGGTGTGTGCACTGGGCAGGAATGTGTTGACTGTGTGTGTGGACCTGTGGGTGGTGGGGCTTGTCAGTTGCAGAAGATTTGTCTTCTCAGGGAGCCACATCAGGGACTTGTTCTACCTTCCAAAGCCTGAAAAAAATGGGTGCTCCTGTGTCTGAGGCCAGCCGCACCCAGCTGTAATCCTCAGAGAGCTGACAAGAGACTTAAAGTCTGGAGCTTATAGCAATTGTAAGCCCCTGAGCCTAACAACCTGCCATGCTGGAGGCCTACTTATTTAATAGAAATACTGCAGCAAGAATGTGCTGTTAGACTTTGCAGCCAACTGTGCTGGGGCTCCTCATACCTGATAAAGAGACTGAAGGGCTCACAACAACTACAAGCAGCTGAGGTTACAACAGCTGGCCAGGGGGACAGCTCAGCCTCCCTGGGCGCCTACAGGAAGAGCAACCCTGCCACAACAGAAGGACTCATGTAACCCACATAGGGGTCACTCCTGGAACATTTGGAACTGAGGGGCCACACTGTCAGGCCTCATCAGGCATCACTTATATAAGGTCACCTCTCCAAGAACAGGAGAGGTGCCTGACCTACCTAATACATAGACACAAGCTCAGGGTAATAGGCAAAATGAGGAGGCAAAGGAATATGTTCCAAGTAAGGGAACAGGACGAAACCCCAGAAAAGGAAGTAAGTGAAACAGATATGAGCAACCTACCCGACAGAGAGTTCAAACAAAGAGTGTTAAGGATGCTCACTGATCTGGGGAGAAGAATGGATGAACTCAGTGAGAATGTCAATAAAGAAATGGAAGATATAAAAAAGAACCAATCAGAAATGAAGAATACAATACTGGAAATGAAAAAAATCACTAGAGGGACTCAAAAACAGAGTAGAGGATACAGAAGAATGGATCTGTGAGCTGGACGAAAGACTAGAAGAAATCACCCAAGCTGAACAGATAAAAGAAAAAAGAATTAAAAAGAGAGAGGACAATCTAAGGGACCTCTGGGACAACATCAAGCGCACTAACATTCATGTTATAGGTGTCCTAGAAGGAGAAGACTGAGACAAAGGGACAGAGAATCTATTTCAAGAAATAATAGATGAAAACTTCCCTAACCTAAGGAAGGAAACAGAAATACAGGTATAGGAAGCACAGAGAGCACCAAACAAGATAAACCCAAAGAGGCCCACACCAAGACACATCATAATTAAAATGTCCAGAATTAAAGATAAAGAGAGAATCTTGAAAGCCACAAGAGAAAGACAAGTTACATACAAAGGAAACCCCATAAGGCTATCAGCTGACTTCTCAGCGGAAACCTTACAGGCTAGAAGAGAGTGGCATGATATATTTAAAGTGTTAAGAGGAAAAAACCTACAGCCAAGAATACTCTACCCAGCAAGGTTATCATTCAAAATGGAATGAGAGATAACAAGTTTCCCAGACAAGCAAAAA